ACAATTTTTTCAATAAATATTGTTTTGATACCTTCCAATTTTAATTAATTTTGCCATATTGCCTGAATGAAAAGAGCGCCCCTATTGTTTACTCATTTATACCTTGTTAATTGTCATTTCAAATTGATGGTTCGGTGAAGTTTTTGAAACTGCATCGGTGTCAGAAGGACATATAAAAATGCTAGCATCCATCATTATATTTGTTTCACTTTCAACGCAAAAACAGCATCACGAAGTCTCTCCCATATCCTTGTTTTCACAATAATAGGCTTGCATTATTGGATAGAGTTGTAAAGTAGCGTTCTTTGAATGGCAAGATACGATGAATGAAATATGTTGTTGATTTGTGCAGAAGTTCTTCTTTTTCTCGCTGTCATCCTCATCGTCTCCAAATCTGGTAAGTTTTATTTCTTGTTTAGAATATAAGTGCAGATATATTTAGCCTATAGAGAGAATTTTCGGAGGTGTAATAACGAAATGGAAGCAAAGGGTAATTTGGGCCAAGGGTAATGACATTGTGGTTGCCTCTCAGTCGTGTGTTTCGTTTTCGCCTTGTACATGGGTTACTGTTCCTAACCGATCAAAGTTTAGCTTAATGGCAGACACTACCAGCGGAAATTTAACATTAAACAAACTTGACAGAAATGATAGTGACCATTACCAGTGCAGAGTAAGCAGTACATTTGGGGAAAAGAACACAGGATCAGCAAGCTTGCAAATAACACCAAGGATACCAGGGACTGTTCATTATATTGAATTGACACAGCAAAATTCAGGGATAACATGAACATAATTCAAGATTTATGAGTGTATGTTTGATCAAAGTCTATGTCAAACCAGTCGTTTTCTGTCTTAGATTATATGAATACTACTATGGGAAGCAATAAAACAATTTGATTTCTCATATTTTCACACATTATTTAATAGGCAAATAATTAGCTTGATAAATGCTTGATAAACAATCTTGTACGAAGTTTCATGATGATACCGTCAACATTATACTTTGTAAAATATTGAGGGTCTGCTAGTTGTTATCGTAGGGAAAGGGGACACGGATAATGGACAACAACAATTGTTTAATTTTCGGCAAAAACTTGAACGGCTTAATATGTTAAATTATATACCTCACTTTAGAAGTCCAGCCATCTGATTGGTCGAAAGTGGAGTCGTGATTTTAGCCATTCCCGTGAAGAAACATAAAATGCCAAAACCGGTCAATAGTAATTTGAAAACCGATCTAGGGCACTTTTCAAGAGACTATTGACTGGTTCGGGCATTTTACGTATATGCGTGCAATTTCAATGGGAAGGATTTTAGCACACAAACTTGAGTGGTGCGTGAGCAGACACCTTATTAAGACTAGGTCGATATAGTGTAAACAAACTTGATTACTATGATTGGTAAGTCGCACATGTATTCTATGACCCTTTTTGGTATATAACAGTTATAATGACTACTTTAATATTCGAGGCATAGTTGTTTTATAGACTCTCGGGGAGGTTACATCGTGCTATCATCCCTCGGTTCGCCTCGGGGCGTTATAGAACGATGTAACTGCCCCTTGAGCGTATACAAAACTATGTCTCTCATAGCAGTCATTATTACTATACGATGAGTCAAAATGTGCTTTAAAAGAAATTATGTAAATGAACTTGATCCCATTGCCCAATGTTGATCTCGACAAATAAGAAAGGCTGTCTAATGGGGCGTTGCAAGAAAGTTGCAATCAATTGCAAATCCCCCAAGTCAAGCATAAGTCTTGCGAATCTTGAAAATTCGCAATCGATCGCAACTCAACTTGCTTGCAATGCCCCATTAGTAAGAGAGATTGGGGAGAGAATAATAATTAGATCTAGTAACTGTTAACTTAATTTGATTGTTAAAACTTTAATCCTAACAAAATCCTAGGACATTTAGGAGACTAGTAGGGCGTTGCAAGAAAGTTGAATTACAATCGATTGCAAAGATCAGTTGCAAACTTTGCAACTTGCAATCAATCGCAACTTTCTTGCAACGCCCCATTAAAGTAATTAGTGAATACATGAAAAAGAAGTACTCCACTATCAGAGTGGAGAAATGCAATTCGAGGCACTCTTTAGTCATTGTTACTATTCTCTCTCATGTCACCAGCCAAGCCATATCTGCTGAAGATATCTGATGATAGTTTGATCCCTTACCACGACAACACCAATATAACGGTAACTGCTGGTGAGCCGTATAACATCAGATGTGCAGCCTATGGGGCAAGAACTCCTGCAGTACTGGAATGGCGTATTCCAGAAGATGTACCGGTTGTTCTTCAAGATCAGGACGATTACGTACGAAACTTCAGCTTTATCTCTCTAAAGACTGGCACAATCACACCCTCTAGGAATGATCAAGGAAAGCGTCTATACTGTGTGGCATCACATCAAGAACTACAAAATAATATTCAACTCTCTTTCGCCTGAATGTCCATGGTAAGTAAACGTGTAAATAGGGAGCATGTCTTATCCTTACTAATGGGGTGTCAATGTCATCACAGCTGAGTCTGTGTCTGTTTCTAGTTACTCTTTATGTACTGCTCTACTTAGATAACCAGAAAATAAACAGTTTCTGGGGCATTATCTAAATGAATATTTATAAATGTTCTTTTATCAGGAGATTCATATTCTCAAAACAGTATATTTTTTGTGTTCATATGTATAACACTTAGAAAGAAAATATATCTCATTCCATTAATCATTATTTAGCATTGATTACATTATTTGGTTTATGATTTTGTTCTTCTTCTCACTCTCTTTAACTAAGTTCAACCCTCTAGAATGTTACTTTCTCTAACTGAAGATAACAAGGAACACGACTCTGAGTCGGCATTCATTCACGTTCAAGAAGGTTCATCGACTTCAATCACGTGTAAAAGTATTGGATCATTTCCAGCAGTTGAACTTTCATGGATCCTTCTCGGTGACACTAGTAGTAATCCCGGTAACTCAAGCCTTTCAAAGTATCTTAATGATTTAAACGAAAGTTTGTTTGACACCGAAAGTACCATCGCAATATATCCACAAAGAGGACACCATAGAAAGTTCATCCAATGCAACGTATTCCTTGACAAAGTCTTTATTGATCAACTGATGGCCATGTTGATCGTTTACGGTGAGTTTTTATTATTCAATATATCGGGAGTCCATCCTCCTATAAATAACACTGATGAAAAATGAGTGGCACTCATGGCCTAATCCAGTGAAAGTATCATTCATCACTAAGAATTCAAAAGAGCTTACCAATTTATTCATCATAATGAACCCTAGGATGGAAAAAGAAAGTATATCAATATGATTCTAGGTTGTCTTCCTTCTGTATGACTAAATTTTACGTCTGATAGATTTAATATTTTTATTTATCAAAGGACAATTAAACTCATTAAGGTTTTTCCTATAACCATATATTTTTGTTATATGTAAAGGCCAACCAGATGGTGTTAAAATGACTACCCCAGGTGAGCTCTACATCGGTATGGAAACCAATGTTAGCTGCAGAGCTGCTAATGGATACCCTGCTCCGCTCATCCATTGGTACATCGGATCTAGAAATGTGACACATGATTCGTCTCTAAAGTCTTCCGTGAATGTACATGGTCGGTATGATGCTGTAAGCACCCTTACCCTCATACCAAAGAGGTTTTATCATGGGAAATCTCTTCTCTGCCAGGCAGTTCAACCTACAACACCCTCTATGCAGGCAGTTCAACCCACAACACTTTCAATGCGGTCAGTGAATGATAGCATGGTTCTGAACATATCATGTGAGTATCCATTTTCCTTTAATCTTTGGTGAGGACATTTTAATATGTATTGGTCTGTCCATGCGTTCGTTAAATATTCTCAAGACTCCACGACTGCTGTCTTTTCCTTAATATCCTACTTTTTTTATTTGATTTATATACTTATAAAAAAAGTATTCCAAACTTTAGAGTCTGCGCTTTATATAGTTCTATATTATTTGTATTATATCATCTAAAATCCTCCTTTTTACGTCTACATACAGTTACCTCAGATCCACCTTCTCGGTTCTCCATCGACCCAAACCAGACGACATCTTCAACTATCTTCGTTGACTGGCAACCAGGATACGATGGTGGGTTGAAACAAACGTTTACTCTGGAATACTGTCCAAACAACACGCAAGTGGAGAAAGAGGGGTGTGATGTTGTCACAAAAATCACAGGGACATCATACACATTGGTTGGACTTAACTCATTCACATGGTACTGGATGAATCTCTGGGCAGTGAACATCGCAGGGAATAGTAGCGCAGTGGAAACAGTAGCTTCAACAACTCGTAAGTTTTTAAATAACGAGAAATTCTAAATTGTTCCCGTTTGAACTTTAATCATCCAAAAAAGTTTACACATTTGTCGTTACCTAAACGTTTTATTTTGTACTTTTTACTCCAAACACTACTTTTTCTGCATTCTAGATTACTAATTTATTTTAAAAAATTGTTCCCGTTTGAACTTTAATCATCCAAAAAAGTTTACACATTTGTCGTTACCTCAACGTTTTATTTTGTACTTTTTACTTCAAACACTACTTTTTCTGCATTCTAGATTACTAATTTATTTAAAAAAATGCTTAAAATTTACGAATACTTCTCTGTATTTATAGTTTAGTCTTCAGTATGACCCCATTACCTCATCCTCCAAATAAACAATATCCATTTATATTACCTACATACTACATCTTACTCGAAACTGTAACAAAACACACAAAAACAACATATTATATTAACCATTCTACAAGCCTATCTACAGATAATAATAATAATAATAATATTTGCATTTATATAGCGCTCATTACAGTAAATGTATCACAGCACTTTACATATCATATACATATATAAGAATATCAATAACAAAATAACTTATGAACTGATTACATTTCCTGATTACGCATAAAAAAAAAAAAAATTGTCTTACAAAATAACTTATAAACTACGTGTAATATTACAGGTACAGATTAAGTATTAAATAGAAATGTCTTAAGGGACTTCTGGAACTGAGAAAGGGATGACGACGTCCGTACGTTCTGGGGGAGGTTGTTCCATAGGCGTGGTGCAGCAGAAGAGAAGGATTTGTCACCTGTACATGTATTGGTCCTTGGAACTGCGAGTAGTGCTGGGTCATTGCTTGATCGGAGCCCTGGTCTTGCTGTTTGATGCTTACGTAAGAGTTTCCTGAGGTAGTTGGGAGCAGAATTATTAAGACATTTGTATGTAATAGTCAGAATTTTGTATGTTATGCGCTTTTCAACGGGGAGCCAATGAAGTTGTTGTAGGAAAGGTGTTACATGGTCGTACTTCTTGGCCCGAAAAACCAACTTTGCAGCACGGTTCTGAGCTCGCTGCAGACGCTTCACATTTAATGCAGAAGTGCCACAGAGAAGGGAGTTTGCGTAGTCGATCCTAGACGAGACGAGCGCTCTCACAGCATGCTCACATGCAGACTGGTCCAGGAAGGGCCTGATGCGTGCTATGTTGGACAAATGAAAGTGAAGCGAACTGGATAGAGATGACACGTGGCGATTCAACTTCAGATTAGCGTCAATCTCAACACCCAAACTTCGGATAGAGGTTGAAGGCTCGATAACTGTACCACCAATGGTCAGAACAATCCCTGATATGAGATGTCGATAGCGTGGACTAGCAACAATAAGGAAATCCGTTTTTCCGGAGTTCAGTTTCAACATGTTGCTCTTCATCCATTGTTGCAGATTGATGATACACGCAGATAATGACTCAAGAGCAGCTGTCATTGCATGCCTGTCCTTTGGATCGACAGAGATGTACAGTTGCACGTCATCTGCATAGATGTGGTGTTGTATCCCTGCATGATGCTTGATGATATCAGCTACAGGATGAGTGTATAAACTGAAAAGTTGAGGACCAACCACTGAGCCTTGTGGAACTCCGAATCTCAGAGGTTTTTGTTCTGATAGCTAATTCACAACCTTCATCCTGAAGCTTCTGTCTGACAGGTACGAGTCAAACCACGATCTCACCATTCCTGAGATGCCAAAAAGCTTGTCCATACGCTGTAGAAGTATTGTGTGGTCAACACAGTCAAACGCAGCAGACAGGTCCAGGAATACGACAAAGGTAACCAACCTGTTGTCCAATGCTCCCAGAATGTCATTTTGTACTTTTAGAAGAGCAGTCTCTGTACTGTGCCAACGGCGGTAAGCTGACTGGTTCTCAACGTTCAAATCATGTTCGTCCATGTGGTCCGAGAGTTGAGACAATGCAGCCTTTTCAATGATTTTTGATAGAAAAGGGACGTTTGAGACAGGCCTGTAGTTCTTCAGATCTTCCCTATCAAGATTGCTCTTCTTGATCAGTGGAACTACCACAGCTTCCTTCAGTGCTGAGGGGAAGACACCGCTACTCAATGATGTGTGTACAATTGATGCAATATATGGAAGATAATGTGTCAACTGTTTTTGTACTGTTTTTGTGTCTGTTCTGTGTCAACTTTTTGTAAAACAAAAATACATTTATTGTTTGATTGCTTTCTCTTAACACTATTGTAATCATTTACAGGCCTATACATTCAGTTACAAATATTTATTTGTGTTAATGTTACATGGTCATGGTTGTGGTCGGATGAGGAATAATGCATTAAGGATGAAACTTATTGCAATATTACACAAGTGTAATTCTCACCACCATCCAGTTTAATATATACTATACTGTATACTTTATACTTTGGGTGTAAGCACTTAATAGATCATTAAATACGAACAACTTTCCAATTGATTAAAGAAACTTGTCTGAGTTATTTATAACCATTTCTTTCATTTCAAATCGAAACATTACACAGCACAACCCTTAGATTAAAAAGCTATTAAAAACTCTGTTTCTTGTTTCTCCGTCATGCTTCCTTGTGTGGGCTTTATACAGCTTTGCAACCCGAGAGCTATGGTAATTATAAAAGCTTCATCAATAAGTAATATCCCTTTTGTTTTCTTGTTTTTTGGGTTGGTTGGCTGTGACAGGAAACTCTTTCTCATTCATTTGTTTTTATAATGTTCGTACGTTTTTTTCTTAGTACAGAGGGGTCATCTTGGGATATACAACATATTTTTTGTACAAGTCGTCTTTCTTAAGTCCATTGAAAGGAATATATTTAATTTTTCATTTTGAATCAGTCCACATAATAGCACAATTGTATTCTCTCCCATGCAATCATCAAAACAAATAGCTAGTTCTGTCATCTTTGACAAACGTTTGACTAAGCAGAAATATAAAGAGGGGTGTTCAAACGGAGCGAACAGAATAATGTTTCCATTATTTAGCTTTAACCCTTGTTTGTTTAATAATGTAAAGACTGTGTATCCGAACATCCAATTGAACAACTCTTACAAAATACTTAACACATTACAGTATGATGCATATCTTATTTTCCCTTACTCTGTCCCTTACACAAATAAGTAACACTATAGTAATTTCCCTTTGTTTCTTGTGGGTGCTTTTGGTGCTTTTTTCGACATATAGGCATAACGGGCAGCTGGGATAAACATAAACATATCTTAACATTGTCAAAGGCAAACCAATCCCACGAAGAAATCTGCTTCATCACACTGAGGACTTACAGCGGGCCAGACTGTGCCTCTGTGAATAGATCAAAGTGCGTTGAACCGGGCACAGAGGTCAGCGTCGACCCGTATAATGACACAGTTTTGGTGACCTTTGGAAGGGGACTATGCAGTACACCAGCTGATCTAACAGGTTAAGTATATTATTCTTTCTTTTATAATTATTCATACGAAAAGGAAACAATTTTTAGATAGCCTCTATACATTTACAATCAATTCCCATTAGTTGTGAAAGTTCTCAAGATCTTTATGAAAACGAAGTTTCGAAACATACAATATATTTTTTAAGTGGCAAGAAAAAAAACAAAGGTCCCTTAATGCAACTGCATATTCATCTAAACATGCTTCCTTAATGTTATAACTTACTATAATAACTATACATTGAAACGTAAAGCCGACATTACCTAAATGTAATCTACATATATAACGATACATGGGCATGGGACAGAAAGCGTTCACGTTTAGCTGTTTGTATGTACGTGGGTGGATGAACACGAATATACCTTTGTGTTTGAAAATGTGCACATGTGTGTGTGCGTGTGTGTGTTGTGTGGATGAGTGTGGCATGTGTGTATGTGTGGGTTTGATTTACATGTGTGTGTGGGTGGATCCATGTGTGGTTGGGTTCACATTAGCTTTAAGATTCTAATATTATATGCATATAAGTATAAATGAAGTCCCATGTCCTGGGTGTATTTATGTGTTAGGGAGGATAAACATGCATGTGTGCAGGTGTGAGTGGATACATGGGGGCGTGTGTGAATGTATGCGTGTGTGTGTGTGTGTTTTTTTTTCTAGTATTAATATATAATTACTCTGCCAAACACAACACATTCTCCTACATTGCTTCGTATAACGATATTTGAAACAAAAAGGATATACAGATGTGAACGAAACATGCATACATAAACCATAGATATAACTAAATTTGCCATTAAACCAAAAATCTCCTACAAAATTGTTTAGAAAACCAATAACCACAACATTCTAGGCATGGTATTGTTTGTCCTAGACACACCAGTTGAGAAGGAGCCATCAACTGAATGTAGCCTTCCTTACATGACAATCGCAATTGGAGTGATTTTCTCAGCTGGCTTCATCCTGCTGATTTCACTGGGTTTGATGTACTTCTATGGAGTGTTATGCTGTAGAAAACGAAAGAAGGGTATGTCGTAAAGCAGCTGACTCCCTTCGTTCACCTTCAAATAAAAAAAAAATCATTCCTTATTCCTTTTTAAAAGTTTTTTTCTTAAAGCTTCAGTCTTCAACTTCTTGTTACGTTTCCTTGTTATTTCGCCACCTCTTTATTTCTATTTTGGTTCTGTGTTGTGATTCTTTTCTTCTCTCTTTCGTTTTACTTCTGTGTCTCTCGATCACTAATGCTGCCCTTAGATGGCATTCCTATCCCCACTGAGAGTTTTTTGTCTTCTTGTTTTGTCTAATTCGATAATGTCTGTTAAGCTTTTTCATTCGTTTTTTATTAATTTACCTTCCAGAGTTTCTTTATATCCTTATTTATCGTTATTTATGGTATTTACTATTATTCGTATAACTATTTAAATTGCCCGCTGCTCATAAAGTGTGCATTCCTGTTAACCAAAAATAACCCTTACACTTTCATATTCTCTTACCAACTATGTTAACCCATACAATCTCCCCTTTTCTCCCCTGATCTCTCGTACACTGTGCTTGTATTCGCTGTAGCATTCATGATCACAAATATTAGTTTTAATACTAAGACAGGAATTGAGGTGTATGAAAATATGGAAGGAAACACGTTTCAAATTATTATGGTTCCAAACAGGAAAATAATACAGTCATAACGATCAACGTAGGATAAAGGAGAAGTTTACTGCTAGTTAGAGAAATATGAATTAGGATACTGTAAATTGTATTTATATTCACATGATTAAAAAAAAAAAAAAAAAATCCTGCATGCTTCTATCATTTCATGTGTTTCAATGTTTTTAATTTAAACAGATCGATTCATTGATCTGTTATCATGGATATTGGTTTTAATATAGAATAATTCAAATTTTCGAATGACAGTCAACTTTTAAAAGGAAGTATCTATGCTAAAATGTGTGCTTGCATTAAGGCGCCTTGGATTAATTCTCATGTGGGAGAAGCTGCAGCCTTTTAACCAGAGAGCGCATGCATCAAAGCCGATTGAGTTAATCCCGGATGCACGATTTGCCCACTAAAAGCCGCATTGTGTGTGTGCAAAGACCGTGACGTCTTTTTCAAGCCAGAAACCCGCGATTAATTTTCAACCCATTGAAAGATTCGTCATACTTGTTTAGCTCCCTCTGCGGCTAAACTGAGTTATTTAGCTTAGCTTGAGTTCGTGTCTAATTAGCACTGTACTCTGTGTGTTTGGAATGGATCATTATGTACAATAAAAACACCGTGTAAACGGATTGTTTACAAGTAATAAGACCTGTTTGAAAATTCAACAAGTTGTTGTATTGAAATGAACTGTTAACATTTTAAACAATTACGTTTTATCTGTGTATATATAACGGAATGAATTTTTAAAAAGTAGATTTTTTTCGGCGAGGTAACTTGGAGGTGTTAATCTAGAAACACGGGTTATGGGCGCCCCGTTCAAATTGAATTCTCCAGCAATTAATGGAAATAAAGACTAGTGTTTTTTTTCTCTCTCGCCGGTATAAACAATCGCGTGCTGACCATAAATCCAATGTGTTGATTCATGAATTCTTGTTTGAAGACTATGCTATTCCATATTCATAGAGGCAAAACACATTTTTAAGAGGGTTTTAAATTTTGTTTTCTTTGAACTTGATATACAGCCCTCTCCAAAGAAAATGTTTTCTCTTGCCCCTGTTCATCTCTTTTCCTCTCTCTTTTCTCTTTCTCTTTCTTTTCTCCCCACTCTCTCTTTGGTTTCTTCACTGGCCACCAATAATGGGTGCAGTCTGCCTCCCTATCCACATTCTGCCCCGTGCCCCTCCTCCCCCCCCCCCACCTTCCCCCTGTACGCTAGTGTTTCTCCGGCTTATTATTATCATTATAATCATCATCATCGTATTATTAGTATCATTATTTAGCTGGGGAGGGTGATGAATAATGAA